CCCTCCTCCTCTTCCCCCTCCCTCTGCTGTCCCCGCTCCTCTACTATCTTCCTTCCTACTCCCCCTCCTTCCTACAGTGTCCGCCCTCCTGCTCCCTCTCCCTCCTGCACTGTCCTCCCTTCTGCTTTCCTCTTCCTTCTCATTCTTGAAAATGTTTGCATTGTGGGTGGGTGGACCCCACGCTGTGACCCCAGTGCTGGGGAGGCTGAGGCTGGAGGATGGCAGGCAGCATGGAGACTGCTCATGGGTCTCACCAGCAGGGTCCACAGAGCACCTGCATGGAGACTGGGGAGAGCAGGGAGGCTCTGCCTGGGCTGGGACGCAGACAGAAGGAACTCCTCAAACACAGAAGGCAGCTGGCATTCCAACGGAGAGGCAGTGAGGGCGTGCCACAGTCTGCGAGGCTGCCCAGAAGGACTGGAGCCCTGGCTGGATGGGATGGCGGGAGACGGGGTGGCAGAGGTGCAGGAGCTGGACTCCCTCTGTCTGCCCGGGACGGAGAAGGCTGCTGAAGATGCAGACAGGTCTCTCCAGAGGGGCTGAAGGATAAAGGTCCGCCAGAGAAGGGCCTTGCTGGAGGCAGACAGGAGAGCACCTCTCGGATGGAGGCCAGCAGTGAGCCAGGACCCTCCGCCTGAGGTCGAGAACAACCCCAAGCCAAGAAGACCATGGCATGTGTGGAGTAGAAGATGCAGACCCCAGCAGGGACCTGCACTGCTCACTCACTGTGTGTCCGGTGGCACTGTCGAAGGACACAATCACAGAAAATGTGGTGCTGCAGATGTTGCCAGCTTTACCTGCACACAACAGTGTGTCAGCAGGCTCCACCCCACAGGGCTGTCTGCTCTGTAGCAGAGACAGGGAGGGAGGTGAGTTGAAGACAGAAGTGAGGTTGACACAGAGTGGTGGCCACAGCTGGCATCAGAGCACATATCCAGGCTATGCCCATGTCTGGGAGTTTGGGTCACATCACGGCTGCAGCCGATTCACAAGCCCTGCCCTAGAGTGTCCAGCACAGAGCATGGTTGACATGGAATGATCAGGCACCAGGCAGGAGGTCTGACATGAACAACATTATCTGGATGAATGGTTCTGAGAGACAGCGTGCTTTGGGAAGCCAGGGCTTTGGACAGGTGCCCTGGGAGTCACTGGAGTGCAGCAGGTGCCAGCACAATCCTGTGGAGGAGCATGGTGGGGAACTCACTGACTGGGGCCAGGTGAAGACTTCAGATGTGATGGACATCACCTGGCACCCCTTCGATTAGGTACCCTTGTGACTTTTTAACAGAATGCAGACATTGACAAAATGAGATCAAGTGTAACGAGAGGCATCGAGGTTGTCAAAACTGAACCTTTACACAGACGTCCCTTCCCTGCTGCCCAGGGTCTCCATGCAGGCGCTCCCTTTCTACAGGAGTCTGTTGCATGCTGTGCTCTGGGGTTAGAGGGGTGTCTCCCTGGGAGTACGGGCAGGGCTCCAGTTCCATCCTGGACACCACTGCTCTTCCGACAAGTCCCAACCCAGGCTTCTCCCAGGTCCCGGGCATCTCAGGCTGCGCAGCTCTGGCTTCCCACCATCTGCATGAAGGGTTTGTGGCTGGAAGGGTACAGTCTCTCATGCTCTTTCCCTAAGCAACTAAACCATATCGTGGGATTTTCTCTTCTATGTTCATTTTAGCCTTTAATGATGCCTAAAAAAATTAAGTGGTATTTTGATTAGGACTGTGCTGAATTTAATGCACTTCTCATCTTTTCAACATTGTGGTATATTTTAAAAACCATCTGATGAAGAACCCGGGGGCCAGGACTGGGGCTATAGCTCCGTGAAGAGCACTTGCCTAGTATATGCAAGGCCCTCGGTTCCACCCCAACCTGGAAACAAACAAGCAAGCACAGTAAGAACCAGATGGCTGGAGCAGCTAGGGCCTCTCCCTCAGGGGACTCTCCTGCGTGGGGCAAGGTGTGGCTGCCCCTTGGGTCCTCTACTGCTCCCCCAGGGAGTCCCCATGGGCTGCCTGTTGGAGCTGGTGTTTCAGAACACATTCCTGCCCTATAGAGGTTTCCAGAACTTTGTTTCTTGGTACTGGTGACTGAACCCAGAGAGCTGCATCCCAGCTCCTTTCACTTTCTGCTTTGCGCCAGGCTGGCCTTGTACTCGCAACCCTCCTCTGTCTCCCGAGCAGTGGACACTAAAGGCTCCCATGCCCCGCTAGGGTTGCTTCTTTTGAAGATGGGGTCTTGCTGGGTTGCAAGCTGGCCTATAACTCCAAAGCCGGAGCTGTCCTCCCATCTCCACGTCCCTAGCAGTTGGGACTCCAGGCAGGCACCCCCCAGCCAGCCTAACTGGGGGTTATTTTAAGCTCAGATACAAATGACTGCCTCTCCCCTCCCTGCTAGGAGGACAGGTGGCACAACCTGGTTTTCTGTGGTCACTCTTTCTGCACCAAGTGAAAAGCTCCAGCCCATGCCTCGGGTCATGACTGCTTCTGTGGTGCACACTTTGTGTCTCCTCAAGATTCTCAGCATTTGCAAAAGCTGCCTGTCCACATCAGACTGTGGTTCTTCAGACTACAGCTCTGCTGGCCTTGTGCTTGCATTCTGCCTCTGGGGCACCCCACCTCAACCTCAGTCTGTGTCTAGAAACATCTCTCCTGTCCTGATACGAGCGCTTGGCTGTGGGCAGAACTCCAGGGTCGTGGGGCAAAGGCTCTCTCTGGGGCACACCCTGCCTTGCCCGCTTTCCTTTCCGAGTTTGCTTCAATAGGAAGATGCTTCACAGATTCAGGTCACACACTTTATTTTGGTGAGGATCAGAACCAGGAAACGGACATTCAGTTCCAGGCCAACCATTCTGACGTCTGCAACCTCCTTGGCAGCTGATCAGGGAGTCAGCTGGGATGCGCCAGCTCACTCTC